TGATTTTTATTATTTTTTTTAAATGGAATGACACTTCTGCTTTATTCTCATTTCCTTTAAAGGGAATTTAGGAGAAATTCAGTAAACCCTATTGGAAAAAATTCATAGTTTTAACCCAATGTCTTCACTGTATAAATGTCCTTTTATCTCTTTCCAAGTGAAAAGATTTTCCTCATGTTGTTCAAAGATAATTGGATTATAAATTATATAAATTATAAATTATAAAAACTTTATTTTCAATCTAGCAGCATACCCTTTGGGGCCATGAAGAGATTAATTTTTGGAATAATAGTATGAGTAATAATTTAGGGCTTCTCACACAATAGTTGACCCTTACATGCAGATAATTTTTACTTTAATCTCACTTGGGCCAGGGGAGAGAGAAGAAGATAAATAGGCAATTGTGAAATTACTTCAGAATACTTCTTTAGAAATTTAAAGGTGATTATTAGAAAAGCTGATGGTAACTTGGGTTTATTAATGTTAGTGTTATAGTGGTGGAAAGTTTTTGGCAATGGGTGTTTCTTTGTCTACACACAGCATCACATAAATGTTTGACAAAATAGTACTGACAGAATCAGGTGAACAGTGGCTTTAAAGTGACTTTTGTGTGTGTGTGTGTGTGTGGTGTTGGGGATTGAACCCAGGATCTTGTGCATGCAAGGCAAGCACTCTACCAATTGAGCTATATCCCCAGCCCTAAAATGACTTTTTTACGTGAGTTTTACCAAGTTAATACTCATACTATTGCCCTTTTCCAGTTCTTTGCTGAAAGTGTTGATCTTTTATTCTGACTTCAAAAAATAATATCTTTAATGCAATTTGGTATTAGTATGACTATTTTAAACCTCATCATAGGAATTAGTTTCTAAAGTCTTAAACTGACCTTTGGTAGTCCTTGATCATATGGCCTGGCCTCCTGCAACCAGCTATTGTCCTAACCTTAATGTATTAGATGCTTTATTTTCTGTTGTTTTAAAAAGTAATTTATACAACTTTTAGCTGCCTTGAGTGTTTTTAAATTTAATTCTTCTCAAATTTACCTGAATTCAAATATTACTAAGATAAAGGCACCAAAGTGGCCATTTAGTGTTTCCCAGGAGTTAGCTGAAACTGGTAACCCAAGAACTCTTGGGAACTCCTTAGAAGATATAAGGTCAGCCATAGTCAAATAACAGTGGAAAAAGTACTTGAAGTTAGGATAGGACTAAATTACAGTTTAAGGAATCATTAACATCACTTGAACTCAAAAGTAGTAAATTACAGTAGAGACTACTGATCAGGATTAAAGCAAATGTACTATATATAGATGCTAAGAGATTGGAAAGATATATTTCTCCAGGCACTTACATTCTTTTTTTTTTTTTTAAAGAGAGAGTGAGAGAGGAGAGAGAGAGAGAGAGAATTTTTAATATTTATTTTTTTTTAGTTCTCGGCGGACACAACATCTTTGTTGGTATGTGGTGCTGAGGATCGAACCCGGGCCGCACGCATGCCAGGCGAGCATGCTACCGCTTGAGCCACATCCCCAGCCCCCACTTACATTCTTATCTGAATGTATGATTAAAGATTGTCCCTGTTTTAAGGTGATAAATCTAGACATCTGTTACAATGAGACACAACAGATTATTTACAGAATTTGAGATGTGTGAAATTTCAAAAACAATCTCACTTTGTACAGTAACTAGTCAATGGAAAGGCATTAAAACTTGTACATTAGGAGATACTAATGCTATTGACATCTTTAAACTTACATGCATAAATAGGATATTTAATACACCACCTATTCAGTATGTCAGAGATTTTAAATGATAATTTAATTATTGGTATTATGTATTAACCAGGAATACAGTGGCTCTCTCTGGATGAAATCAAAAGTCTTTTTATGAAGCTAAATGGGGCCTATAAGAAATTGCTACTTTAAATTGAATATAGTTTATAAAAATTGTGTTGAGAGGTGGGCTTGGTGGCACATGCCCGTCATCCCAATGGCTGGGAGGCTGAGACAGGAGGATGGTAAGTTTAAAGCCAGCCTCAGCAAAAGGCAAGGCACGAAGCAATTCAGTGAGGACATGTCTCTAAATAAAATACAAAATAGGGCTGGGGATGTGGTTCAGTGGTACTCAAGAGTACCCAAGAGTTCAATCCCCAGTACAAAAAAAAAAAAAATTGTTGAGACTCATATTCCCTTGATTTTTGAATACTAGAATTTTTTTTTAAAAATCATATGCCACAAGACAATTGCTAATAGAATTTATATATAGCTTATAATATGTGAGTAAACTGTTTTGAATTACAGAATTAGAAATTAGAGGCAGAATTTTGTTCCTTGGAGAAAATTTTGATCTTCAGAAAGAGTGCAGTTTTTTAAAAAATATTTTTAGTTGTAGATGGACACAATATATTTTTTTATGTGGTGCTAAGAATTGAAACTAGTGCCTCACACGTGTTAGGCAAGTGCTCTACCACTGCACCATACAACTCCAGACCAGTTTTTATTTTTTTAAATATTTTTTTTTAGTTGTAGATACAATATCTTTATTTTAACCCAAGGCCTTGCACATACTAGACAAGTGCTCTACTGCTGAGCCTCAGCCCTAGCCCCCAGTTTTTATTTTTGATATGACTCTTGGAATGGAAATATTTTAGGGGTTTAGCATTTTTAAAATTGTATAGTGTGATACTTAATGTTATATTTCCCTTAGAACAAATCAAGAAGTCATAGGCCCTTTCCTTGACCCCTTTCATTGTAGATCAGGTTGTTTGTGAATTGATGGGTAGGGAAATAAGAAACCCAAAGTGGTGTTATTCAGAATTTGGTATTGCCATTTTCTTTTATGGAAAATTAATTTTTAAGGTAGAATTATATGTAAGTCTTCCCTTATGACTTTTTCATAGTATAAGCATACACTGTATTCAGTTAATATCTTGAGCCTAAAGTTTGAGACCAACAGCTTACTTCTGTGTTATATGCTCTTAGTTATACTTTGAGGAGTATAACTTTTTTCCCTTAATTAGGCAAAAAAAAAAAAAAAGTCTTGTTAGGGCACTTGGAATTATTAGCTATTTATAAGTCATCTTTATATTCCTACTTTAAAGGTCACAAATTGTTTTTCTTTAAATAAATACATTTCTAGTGTAGGTTGTAAATTTCTAGTGCTATTTTAAAAATAAAAACCTAAAAAGAATTCTTAGGTAAAGTGGTAGAGAATTCTAAGATGGTCCATCAGAGTTACTGAAGTTTCTCTTTAAACATTGTTCTTCTAGAACATGTGAAATAACTTTTGTAGATATTTTGAGTTTATTTTTTAGCATTCAAATTATGTATAGATTTATTTAAATGCCTTTTGTACTGGAAATAATTTTTCTTTTTTTGTTAATTTATCTTAATTTGGTATATATGACAACAGAATGCATTTTGATTCATTGTACACAATTGCAGCACAACTTTTCATTTCTCTGGTTGTACATGATGTAGCATTACACCATATGTGCAGTCAAAATGTACCTAGGGTAATGACGACCATCTCATTCTACCCTCTTTCCTGCCCGCATGCACCCTTCCTACCCTCCCTCCCCTTTGCCCAATCAAAGTTCGTCCATTTTCCCCATGCCTCCCCCCTCCCCATTATGGATCACCATCTACTTATCAGAGAGACCATTCTGTCTTTGTTTTGGGGGGATTGGCTTACTTTGCTTAGCATGATATTCTCCAACTCTACCCATTTACCTGAAAATACCATAATTTTATTCTCTGTCAATAACATTTTTTACCTTAGTTTTCTATATTACACTGCCTGAGTTACATTATGGTATGTTATATAAGATCTTTGGTTTTTCATTAAAACTTCACACATTTGGGGGAGCAATTTGAAGAGTTTAATGACCACACTCTGAGTATGATTATGAAATGACTGAATTCCATCCAGATTCCATCCAGATTTCTTAGACTTTCCGGGGAGCTTTTCTTCATTTTTTTCTCCCTGTTTTCCCCACCTCAAGTTATATACATTGTTTGAAAAAAAGACTTTTAGCATCTGGAATATTTTTCTTGTCCTTTCAAGGTAGTCATCTGGTAGTAAGCAAGCCTATCCTTAGTCTCAAAACAGCACTGCCAATGTATAGATGGGTTTCCATATATCGAGCCAACCTGAACAGCTACCAGAATGGATCTAGATGATTACTATTTTATAGTTTATCCTGATATAATCAGTAATTGTCACCAAGTAGTGAGATGGGAGGGTAGGGGTCGGAATCAGCAGAGTATCTCTAGCCACAATTTTAAAGTTTATGGGAGCATAAAAATCCCTAAGCTACTGAGTATCTTTTATGCCATTTAAACTATGGGGATACAAAAGCAAACTATTCAATATTCCTAATCATGTTGCATTGCTTGCTTCTGTGTTGGAAGGGGAAAATATCAACCAAAATCTGCATACCAACTCAATTGCAAAAGGAAATTACAAGATATGTGATTTGAAAAATGAAAAATATATGTAAAAATAGCAACTTAATTACACATTGACACCGAGCACGTTTTCTGAGTTGAGCAACACTAATTTTGAGTACTTATTAAGGCTGGTGCTTTACAAACACACAACTATGAAAATCTTCATAACTCCTGATTTGGGTATTTTCAGAAGCAGGATGGGAGCTGTTTTACCCTAGGTTCCACAACTGGTGAAGAGGCAGAAATGTTCTGAAAATCTCCTCTGGTATCTCATTCACTAGGCCACACTGCTTCTTCCCCTGCAACACCTCAAAATCAACGTAGGTCCAACCCACTTAATGTAGAAAGGTGGGAACAGACAGTTCTTCCCTATAGGAGGGAATATAGTTGCTGCTTTGAAACAACGCAGAAGTGTACTATCACGGAGGGAATGCCCTCAAGTCCTGCGCAGCTTTACTACTGAGTCAGACATGCTAACGGGGCACCGGGTGGGGCTTTAGGGACCTGGAGAGAAGCGCGAGTCCCGCCGACACGCGGCGGAAGCAGCCCCCGACCCCGCCCCGCGTCCGGTGAGCCAGCGCCCGCGTCCGGTGGCCTGGGCGACGCTGTGAGGCGGCCAGGGTGCAGCCATGTACCGGCTGCCCGAGTCTAAGAGGAAGCGGTGGGACAAGCAGGCCCCTTCCCGGCAGGACGTACAAACCGCCTGTGTCCTCCCCTCTCCGGGGGCTGGTGAAGGCGGCCCTGCTCTCCCGGATCGGCAATCGGCGCCGCGGGCGACGGTCGCAGGCTCGGCGGGTGCCCGGGACAACAACCTACCGGCACCCGCACGCCCTCGTCCTTTGCTGCGCTCCGTGACCTCCTCCACAGGCGGGTCGCCGCCTTCCTCCGGGACCGGTAGTTCTCAAAAACATACCAGCATGTTTGCCCACAAAAACAGACCTAGAGAGGTACATTGAGCAGTCGGTAGGAATTGAATTCTGGCTCCACTCGCAGATGTTTAGATGCTCGTGAAAGCCCACCTCACCACCTCTGATTGGAGGGTTGCAAAGTAGCCCAACAGCTGGGGAGCGTCGGGGGTGGGGGCAGAGAAGCAGCCCTGTTCTGGATAGGACCCGGGGCAAGGAAGGGCTGGTGGGTTGCTCTCTACCACTACCTGAAAGGGTTTGGCGATTGCCTCGGAACGGAGGGCGAAGGGTTTGGAGCAGGCTGCTGTTTTGTGTCCAAATCAGGTCAAAGGTTGTGGTTATGCTCGGCTTCAATTTATTTTATCCCAAATATTTTTGTCCGATGAATCTTGAGTTATGTGCAGTTTAAATTTTCTTTCTTCCTCCCTTTCCTTACCTGAGCTGTCCCTTCCTTCCTCTTCCTGCTTTCTTCCCTCCCTCCCTCCCTTCCTACTGAAACCAAACCAAAAAGCAATCAAAAAGGATAAGTTAAAAATACACTTTTAAGATTCTACATCTTTACTGACTAGAGTTAAAAAAAGACGTGTGAGTTATTAAAGGTTTATGTAACACGTGGATTGAAAATTGAACTTTTAATTTTGCTTCAATCATTTCATTTTGCAGCAATCAGGATTACAGTTAGGGATGTGGTACTGGAAAGATGAAACCAAAACTCTTGAATTCAGAAGGTAAATTTTAATAAAACTATTAGCAGTTTTATAAAATTACATATGTGTGAGATAAAAAATAAGCAATAAGCAATGAAGAAAAGTATAGAGATTCTGGAAGCTAAGAAATACACAGGAATATATATCTTCCCTACTGCTAGAAAAATAAATATTTAACCAGTGTTTTCCCTTTATAGTGTTATTTAGCATTATTCTACAAAAAGGATATTTTATATTACTATTTGGAATTATTGCCTAATTCTATCTCATTCTTTTGACCACAATTTCAAATATGTAACATTACAATTTGTATTGAAAAAAAAGTATAGAGAATAAAATAAATATCTGGTGAAGTCCAACTATCTGGAGATTATCATTTTACTGAACAGCCTGGCAGACATCACTTTCTGTTAATTAACCCTTACCAGCTGCTTCCCATGAACCAGCCTTTCTACTAATCAGTCTACAAACCCTTTGAAACAGCTGCTATCCAGTTTACAGATAAAGAAACTGAGATTTCAAAGGGCTAAGTGATTTGAAAATTAAGTAACTTGGTCCAATAGCATAGCTCATAAGTGACTAAGAAGATTTAAATGTATGCATGTTTGGCTTCAGAGTCCATATTCTTAATACTGTGTAAAGTTGCCTTTGTAAGTTATAGAAATAGTTTTACATGAGTGGGATCATATTACACCTCCTGCAATGATGGTACATTTTATAAGGAAATATAATTAGATTAGAAAAACTAATCTAAAATCCTGAATCTAGCTGGGAGTGGTGGCACACATCTGTAATCCCAGTGGCTCAGGAAGCTCGGGTAGGAGGATCAGGAGTTCAAAGCCAGCCTCAGCAATTTAACAAGGCACTAAGCAACTCAGTGAGACCCTGTCTCAAATTAAAATACAAAAAAGGGCTGGGGATGTTTCTCAGTGGTTAAGTACCCTGCTATCAATGGAAAAAATAAATACTGATTCTAAAACTATATAACTAAACTGATAATACTAGCCACTACTTGTGTATCTAGTGCATATTTTTCTAATTCTTATAAATAGCTATATGAAGTGAGCATTAATATTCTCATTTTATGGGGACTGGGGTTGTGGCTCAGCAGTAGAGTGCTTGCCTACACATGCAAGGCCCTGGATTCCATCCTCAGCACCACATAAAAATAAATAAAGGAATTGTGTCCAAACAACCACAACTAAAAAATAAATATTTTTAAAATTTTAAAAAAATATTCTCATTTTATTGGTGAAGAAACAGAGGGTCAGTGAGGTTAAGCAAAGTCATATAGACATTGAGTAGCACAACTGATAGTTTGAACCAAAATTAGTCTGATGCCAAAACCCTTGTGCAGGATTAGAGATAGTTATAGTAAGTAGCAGAATTAACTCCATGCAGTTAAAAACAGAAGGGTGAAGGACAAAGAAATATTTAAGAGGTGGAATTGACAGAATGTTTGGATAAAATTGATAGAATACAAGTGGCTGGATATAAAAGGAGAGGGAGAAGTAGGGGTCTTTATTGACTCCCAGGTGTCTGAGTGGAGAAAGTGAATGGCTAGGCTTGCCCTTCACTCAAATACAGATTAAAAGACACAAATGTGTGTTTGAGTTTGCTATGACATGTTCACATGGATATGACTCTTCAGCTGTTGGACAAATGGGGCTGGAGGCCAGGAAGAACTTTGCTAAGTATATATAGTTACATTATAAATGTAATGACATGGAGGTCAAACAAATAATTAAAAGACTTCACATTTTATTAGCATTGAAATCAAGTTTCATAGAATATATTTGTTCCAGGATTAAGGAATCTTTTATGTTCAAAGTAGTAATTTTAGTTTTGCTTTTTTTTTTTTTCTCAGAAATGTCATAGAAGATTCTGTTTGGCAGCTTCTAAAGCATTACACTTGGTGACTGTGAGACAGACAGCTGTGGTTATTAAATGAAAGACTAGTCACAGGAATCAAAATAGAATGTGGGTCTAAAAGTTTCTTATATATGCCTGCATCTACATATAGATACATACAGATATACATATCTATTCTTCATACCATATGTATATCTCTATGTATCTATATGTAGATATAGACATATATAGGTGCTGGGGATCAAACCCAGCATGCTAGGCAGGTACTCTACACTGAACTACATCCCCAGCCCTCTTCATGTATATTTAAGGACTATCTTAGGTAGTGACATAGTGCTTCAGGAGGCTGAGGCAGGAAAATCCCAGATTTGAGGCCAGCCTGGGCAATTTAGCAAGAACTTGTCTCAAAATTTAAAAAATTATGTGGCCTACACACATACATTCTGGGACAGTTTGAGGAGGTGTAGAAAGGAACATGATGAAGAATAGATAGGGACAGCCCTTTTGTAAGATATAAATTACAAAAGGGCTGTAAGGAGATGTAACTCAGTGGTAGAGGGCTTGTCTAGCACATGTGAAGTCCTGGGTTTGATCTTCAATAATGAAAAATAAAATAAATATAAATAAAGGCCATCTTAGCCCTCTTCTCTAATGAAAATTGTACCATACTCACTGAACTTCTGTATAAATGAAGTTAATTGGCAGTATTTTTAAAAAATATTTACTCTTTTTAGTTGTAGTTGGACATCATACCTTTATTTATTTATTATTATGTGGTGCTGAGGATCGAACCCAGGGCCTCACACATGCTAGGTGAGCACTCTACTGCTGAGCTACAACCCCAGCCCAGTTAGCAGTACTTTTCAAACTAATCTTCGGTGCTAATCCAGGTAGCACTATTTCATATTTGAGCCTACTAGTAAACTTACAGATAATCAGTTTCATAGTTTTTCATATTTATAAAATATTCATATTCATAAGCTAAAGTTTCTTTTGTTACCAAATTGTTATTAAAATATGACTTGATTTGATTTCCCCTAGTTTTAGAGATGGTATGACTTAAAATATTGGTTGTAATTAATTGTCTATTTTAAAAAATCTAGAGAGGTTTATAATTGTACCCAACACAAAGAAGTAATAATTGTTTAAGGTGATAGATACACCAGTTACCCTGATTTGATCATGATATTATATAAATGTATTGAAATATCACACTGTACCCCAGTTACTATATGTTGATTAAATGTATTAAAAATAATATCTAAGTCACATAGTATAATATTGTCCCAAAAAGGCTAGATACAAAGTGTAAATACTGCTGGGCACAGTGGGACATGCCTATAATCCCAGTAATTTGGGAGGCTGAGGCAGGAGCCTCAAGCCAGTTCTAGGCCAGCCTCAGCATCTTAGCTAGACCCTGTCTCAAAATGAAAAAGGGCTGGGGATGCAACTCAGTAGTTAAATGCCCCTGGGTTCAATCCCCAGTACCAAAAATAAATAAATTCCCCCCCAAACACCAAAGCCCCCCAACAAAAAAGTAAATGGTTGAATGAATGGTTATATGTGTGTAAAAATTTTTTAAAACAAAAGGAATTGCCAAGTTAGAAGTAAAAAATAGCAGTTACCTTTAGGGGTATTATCAACTGGCACATAGTGGGGGACAGTACAGGGGAACCTGCCCATGTACTGGAAATGGTTTTTATGTGTTGGTGGTAGTTACGTGGGTATATACATATTAAAAACTTGATCACGCTTTATACTTAGGATTTATTTGCTTTAGTACTTATAAGTTACAACTCAATTAAAAAAAATTAAATACCCCAAGTATTATGTGGCCTACACACATACATTCTGGGACAGTTTGAGGAGATGTAGAAAGGAATATGATGAAGCTGTTTCATGTTTAAGTAACTCAGTTTGGCAAACCTTAGGTTACCTTAAGTGTCCTGCTATTAGGGACAGTACTAAGGTGGAGGAAAATAGACCTTTGTATATTTTATGGCCAGAGTTAGTGTTTGGGTTCAGTGGAAATATAGGTGCTGATTTCTTATTAAAGTCTGAACATATCTGAGTGGGCAGTGGTCGGAGTAGAAGCTGCAGAGGTGGCAGGCCTGTCCAGGAACCCTTACTGAGTACATGAGCTACATTTCTGCTCTAGAAAGCCCCTCCTGTGGGAGCACTGAGGAGCAAGATTCCAATTAGGTGGATAATCTTAGAGGGAGGGGGTAGGACCATGAATTCTAACAGAATAGAGAGATTAGGACAGTAGGTGAGTCAGTAAGCATGTAGAGGGGATGAAAGATTTAGTTATACAGGTAATAAACATACCTTCTTATTATTAAACAATTCAAATAATGCAGAAGCATACAGATGTGGAAGACAGATTTCTTTACCACTATCTCGTGTCTGTCCCAGCCCTCCACCCCTCATTGGAGTAGCCACCATTAACAGTTGGTATTCATAAATTTATTTATTTTTCTTGCCTTTCCCCCACCCTAATAACTCAGTACACCCTCCCCCATGATCCCAATCCTTGGAGACCAATGATAAGAGGAACATCAGAAAGAATGAAAAGCATGGAAATCATCCATTGGCCAGCATGGTGCCAGTGTCTTCAAAAAGGAAAGGAAAAGAAAGGTGGAAAAATACAAGTAATCCATTCTCTTGAGGTGAAATCATGTACTCACTTTTTGGAGCTGACATATGATACAACAGGACATTAGGAGGTTGGCCAAAGCTGCTGGGGAGGTATTCCTCCAAAATTATTTTATAAGGAGGCAATAAGGATCTATATGATCGATATTCATCTTTAGAGAATGACTAAAACTGGAGAGAAAGTACTTCCATTACTCTATCTACATTTCAGCTTAACAGAGGCACTTACAACTTTGGGCAGAGATAAAGCTACTGGTTGGGTTATCAATGCCGTATTGTTTCCAAGCAGAAAAGCAATTCATAACCCACACTGGGCCACCAAACCAATGTATGTAGCAAACACCACAGTTGTGGAAAATGTATTCTCTCTAAGGTAGGAACCATATCCTACTGATCTTTGAAAGACTTCTATTTTCCTGTTAGCATTTGCTGATATTCTGAGAGCGTGGCTATAATCAGATACCATCTCATGTTCACTGTCAGCAAGAGTCTCAGGGGCCTCAGTATAAACTTGTTGTTTTTTGAGGTCTCTTGTTAATTAGATCCATTACTGCCAAATAAGTCTTATACTGCCTGTAAGGAAATCCTGAGTCAAGTAAAGGGTTCTGAAAACTTCCTGGAGACAGGCAAGTTCTTGAGAGGGGTTCAAAATTACCAAAATGACTTCTTGGGGACAGGATTGCCTGGTGGCTATGCCCATAGCTCTGTGGCTAGAGAACCTGGGTGCCCATCCTGGCTTTGCCATTTATTATGTGATCTCAATCAAGTTACTTAATCTCTTTCTAAGCTTCAGTTTTTCCCAGATATAAAAATGGTGTTAATATTATTTTTCTCATAGAGTTGCTATGAGGATTAAATGAGATTGTGCTGCCTGGCATGGGCACATGCCTGTAATCCCAGCGACTAGGGAGGCTGTGGCAATAGGATCAAGTTCAAAGCCAGCAAAGCAACTTAACAAGGTCCTAAGCAACTTAGCAAGACCTCAAAATTAAAAATAAAAAGGACTGGGGATGTAGCTCAGTGGTTCAATCTCCAGTACCAAAAATAAATAAATAAATAAGATTTTTCCTAAAAGCATCTGGCCCATAACAAGTACTCGATAAATTTTTAAAATCCCTGCAAACTTAGTGAGGTTTCTGCTTCTTGAGAAGTTACTACAAGATTTTTAGATAGAAATTTTTGTGTATGGTAGTATAGTGGAGGCTGCTGAGGCTGAGAGCCTAATGTAAAATCTGAAGATTTAATCATTCTGTGTATAAATTCATAAATGGAACACTGTTGTGCCCAAAAATATTTGGCCTCTGCTCATAATATATGCCATCCTAAGGTTGTATGAGTTATGATCATGATGTGATTAGTTTTTTCCCTGGGAAAACTCAAGTTCCTAATCATCTCATTTCTATTGCAGTTTTATATCTTCAGTAGAACTCAAGGAAAAAGGAAAGAAAGGCAAAGCCGTTCACTTTGCTGAAACTGATGGCCCCGCTTCAGAAAGGTGGTTTCACTTCTCATCCATGCCGGTTCTGCCAATGGTGCCTCTCAGTGGAATCACTTAAGTCTTTACAAACTCTAAGTTCCATTATCTCAGGCTGAAATGCAGTACCAATAAAGGAAAAATGAGGCACTACCTCAAAATTATAGTGGGAGTTACAAATCATCCCTATAAATGTATCTGTGATAACTTGGCTGTTAGTACATTTCAACTTTTTAGTTTTCTTTTAATCTGAATATTGTAACTATCCAGAAATAGATGATTGAAATGATCTCTTTTGGATGGAATATATGTGTGTGTGTGCGTGTACTGTACATATGATATTAGGGGTTGAACAGGGCCTTGCACATGCTGGGCAACTAACTCTACCACTGCATCACATCTCCAGCCCTATGTGTACATTTTATATCAGACAGTGTGCATTCCTTTTATATCTAGCATAATAAATATAATGTTTAATAAAATACATCCCCAAATGATATTTCATTAAATGAAACCCATGCATAACTCTGAGGATCTCCTTACTTTATAGTAAATGATTCACACACTACAAGATAGAGTAGATACAACTAAAACCTTTTAAAACACTAGGGGCTGGGCATGGTGGTGCACAGTTGTAATCCCAGTGGCTCAAGAGCTGAGGTAAGAGGATTGCAAGTTGAAGGCCAGCCTTAGCAACTTAGTGAGACCCTGTTTCAAAATAAAAAAGGCTGAGGATATGGCTAAGTGGTTAAATGCCCTTGGGTTCAATCCCTGGTACCAAAAAACAAACAAACAAAAAAAAAAAACAAAACACTACTACATGCTGTTGTTCCAAAACAGGTTGACAGATAAAAGGCTCTCTTCAAGAGAGGATAAGTCAGCGAAAGCCTTAGAGAAACGAGGTCAGCAGGGCAACGTTACACTGGATGATGTTAAATGTGAGTAGCTGTTCCCTCCTCCTTACACACTACCTGGTATGAACCTCTAAGGCAGCACTTTGTCTCTCCTTCAATTACCATCTTCTCTCCTTTCAGTTGTTGCTTTGCTTTTGCTACAAGATACTGAGATGCAGAAGATCTGTTCTTTTACAACGTTTATGAGGTGTGTAATGCTTGCAAGACATTGTAAGTCTTTTCCCCTTTACTTTGCAGTAATTTCATCTGATAAATGCTGATAGATCTGATCTTTAGAGAAACAGCAGGAAGCAGGTTCTATGTAAACCATCAACTCATCACTCAGTCACAAAGACTGAAATCAAAAAGTCTGGCAGAGGAATCCAAAAGTCACAGGAGCCCACAGGAAACCCCAACAAAGTCCCAGGGCAAGGAGTACAGAGTCATGTTCCCAGAGTTCCATGCAGACTGCACTATATTTATAATACCATTCACAGAATGTACCCATTTACTGTAGAATGTTTCTTGATTTTTCTTTTTTAGAGAGAGAGAGAAAGAGAGTATTTTTTTAATATTTATTTTTTAGTCTTTGGCGGACATAACATCTTTGTATGTGGTGCTGAGGATCGAACCCAGGCCGCACGCATGCCAGGCAAGCGCGCTACCACTTGAGCCACATCCCCAGCCCCGTTTCTTGATTTTTCTAAGCATCAGTTCCCTTAGCTACAAAATTAAGAATAGTGTCTCCTTTCTATGGCCGTCTGTGCCTGGGCTTCTCTTGGCATCTGCACATATGACTGGTCTATTAGAGTTGGGCACCCAATGCTATAGGCACTTCTCCTACATCCCCTCAGATTTCCAGTGCAGGTTGCTTGTGATGAATACCTGAGACTCTGCCCTCAGGTTTTGCTCCACTGCAGGGGCCCACTTGGCCTGAGCACTGACCTTGGCAAGCAGGACAACTCCTTAGAGTTGTTTTCTACATGATATTTTCTATACAACCTCCCAGAGCCCCTGCAGAACTGAATTATACTAGTTCACGGTGATAGCACCCCATTCACTGGCTTCCTTCCTGTTCCTATTCCATTTCCACTCTCCATAGGATGTTTCCTAAGATCACATCCCACATCATCTGCTTACTCTCAGTTCCTTGTTTCAGGATCTTTTTCTGGGGAAACCCAAAGTTAGATAAGTAGTTATTAATATCTTGACAAAAAAATCTGTAATAGTCACCTTCATTCTGCTCTAAAGGTGCAGTTAAAAGAAAGCATGTCAGAGTAAGAATGTCCTTTGGGGGCTAGAAAGAAGGTAAAATCTGATAAAAATATAAAGAAAACAATAACTTCTAATTGAAAAATGAGAATAGCATTGTAAATCAGTGCATTCTTTTTGGAGAGCAAAACATGAAAATTTAATATGCTTGTGTACTGTGTTCTAACAATTTCACTTCTGTCTATAATATTTTAAAAAGACATCAATATCCTTCAACAGAAGACTAGTTAAGTAATTGAAGAGAGAATATTCAGCTGTTTAAAAGAATAAGGGACATCTATACATAGCATTATAGAAAGAGGTCCACACTACACATTTAAGTGACAAAAGCAAGTGGCAATAAATCATATCTATAGAAAAAAAATACTTTAAGGCATATATTTATACATATGTATACATGTTGGTGGGGGAGGATGTTATATGTAAACACCTATGCTTTAGAACGTTTAGGAAGAATTCATTCCAAAGACTTAATAGTGGCCACAACCAGGGAGTAGGATAGAAGAGAGAATATTTTACTTTATATATTTCTGTACATTTTTAAAAAATATTTTAGTTGTAGTTGGACACAATATCTTTATTTATTTTTATGTGGTGATAAGGATCGAACCCAGTGCCTCACACATGCGAGGCAGGCTCTCTACCACTGAGCTATAGCCCCAGCCCCAATTTCTGTACATTTTTTAAACAATGGATATATATTACTTGTATATTAAGAACTTCTTAAAAATTTAATTAATAAGCACAACTGTAAGAATTTAGTAGTCAGGCACAGTGGAGCCTGTAATCCCAGGGACTTGGGAGGCGGAGGCAGGAGGATTGCAAGTTTGAGGCCAGTGTCAGCAAATTAGTGAGACCTGTCTCAAAATAAAAAATAAAAAAAAAAGGACTGAGAATGTAGCTGAATGGAAGAGCATCCCTGGGTTCAATTCCCAGTACAAAAGAAACAAAAAGAATTTAGTGTCTGACTTTCCAAAAATAAATCTTTTTTTTTTTTTTACAAAAAGTGAATTTCTTAACTTTCAGTAGTGTAATAGAATCTTAAATGGTAAGTAAATTAGTTGTGTGATAGGCATGATAACATGTATTTCTACTCATGTCCTATGCCCATATTTTTTATGAAAAACCTCATATTTGAAATAGGTTAGTGTTGATTTCTTTCTTTCTGTTTTCTAAATTTCTTCATAGAAATAAGAATCTTGACAATTTCCTCATGGCATTATTATACTATTTATCTCATTACTTGGAAAAAAACTCGCTGGAAAAGAAGCCCGAAAGCTATATGGTGTAAGTAAGTTCTGTAAGTGCCAGTTTAAAAGTAACTTTTACCTAAGGTGAAGAGATAATGGAATTTTAAAAATCTTTTGGGTGTACATGGGAGAAGTTTTCCTGTTTTTAAAGCTCATTGAATAATGGGTATTCCGTACAACAAAATATTCCAACTAATAAAGAATAACAGTACCCAATAATGAGATTTAATGAAAGCCACATTAGTAATTTAAAAAATTTTAGTAACCATATTTTAAAAAGATGCAGGTTAAATTAGTTTTAAAAGTTATTTTATTTAACCCTATGACTGGAAAATATTATTATAACAAGTAGTCAATACTAGGAAGTGAGTGATTAATGAGATATTTTACTTTTTTTATGAAATAAGTCTTCGAAGCCTGGTGTCTTTTATACTTACAATATATCTCAGTTGAAACTAGCCACATTAAATGCTCAACAGCCACATGTAGTTAGTAGCTACCATATCCAGTAGTGCAGAAATAGATTTATTTTGTTATGCTTTCTGTGCTAATAAAAGTTCTTGCTAAAGGGTTTGTAAGCATCTAATAAAAAAGCTAAGATTTTTTTTTTTTTAAATAACAGAATTGGCCAAAATGTCATCACAGGAAAAAAACCCCAAACTTTCTTAGGTTACTTGTAAAGAACATAATTGCTTTACACAGAGGTGGCTTAGAGATATTCACCCAGGGGCAAGCTCTGGGAACTTGGAGTCCACAGCAGAACAATGCCTTGCAGACTTGGCCATGACCTTTCACAAGCATGGAACTTTCCAAGTGCCCAGCTGCCCTCCTCGTACATGTGGAACCAACCCAGTGACTTAGCTGTTAGGAATGTTGAATAGAGCCATTAACTTGCTACAGAGTATTTTGAAATGCAAAACTCCTGTATATAATCAAGCAGTTTGAAAAACATTTTATGGATAGAGAAATAGTTTCTGGATAGCAGTTTTGTAAAGGACCAAATAAATAATTCAAACACTGCTGCTACCATAAAGCTATCATAATGTGCAATGCTGGTGTTGTTTCAGGGCAACCTTTCACAGTAAGACAGCCAGAGCATGCAGTGTTTCTATGGTAGCGAGCAAAAGGGCTAAAGCCAGTGTGAGCTTCAAAGGTACAAGGATTCTTACTATTCCCAAGTAGAAACTTATTAGACTTTGGAGGTATTATTTTGGCTTATTTTGTGTGGTCTTTTCTAATTTTGAGGCTTATTGCTAATCTAGCAAAGAAATTTATTTTATATCTTAATTAACAGGTAACAGAGAAGAAAGATTCCTTAGTTATTTTTAAAATGCATGAAAACTCTTTAGAACATGGAGATATAAGACTGTTTCTTAGAAGGAATCAATTACAGAAATGACCAAAAGCAAAATAGGTCTTAAAATGATTGATTCTGGGGTTTGATTCTAAAAAAGCATTATGACCTTTCATTTTCAGGCTTTCCAGTAATCAGTCCATTTACTTATTATTTAGAATTAAACATAGATTGCAATGTGATATCAGCACAGAAAAAAATTGATTTCATAGGGATAATGATAGTGCCTAATTCACAGTGTTGCACAGAAATAAACGAGATAGTGTCTTGTCTTAACCTAGTGGTCGCACTTGGGAAGAAAGCTTGCATCCTGTGAGAGGAGGGCAGAAAGAAATGGAGAAAGATGTCAAAGATGCATTTTTTTGGGGCGGGGGAGGTGGGAGGATTAAATAAACTCTAGAGAGGGCAAAGGGGTAAAAGGGAGGGTGTGGAAGGGAGGGGGCAGAGGGGTAGGAAAGACGGTGGAATGCGATGGTCATCATTACCCTAAGTACATGTATGAAGACACGAAGGATGTGACTCTACTTTTGTGTACAACCAGAGATATGAAAAATTGTGCTGTGTATGGGTTATATGAATCATATGTCTTTGGTTGTCATATATAACAAATTAAAATTTTAAAAAAATTTAAAAATACAGCAAAGTAAATTGTGTAGCCAAGGGCAGGGGGAGATGCATTTAGATGATACTGGATGGTTAAAAGCCCTAATTCCAAGAAAAGAAAGCTCTTCCCCATTTAAAGATGAAAAAATTAAGGCTCAGAGAGGTGAAGTAATTTGTTGAAATGACATACCTACTAAGTAGTAGAGAGAGGCTAGAACCCAGGTCTAACTCAAAAGCCTGTGCTTTACCACACCCAGCACCTTCTATTGATCAACTATGGGTCCGTTTCCAGAGTTCATCCATTCAGAATCAAGATTTATAGCTCTGAACAAGACACAATTTTGCCTGAGTTTATAAACACTTGTACCATAAACATTTTTCAAGTTATGGCCTCCTTTATGATTTTTTAATGGTGGCATAACTTTCCATTAAGTAAATGACTTGACTTTAGTTATTAAGGGGTAATTTATTACAGTGGTTAAGGTTGCATATTTTGGTGCCTGGGTTAAATCTCAAAGGTTTAATATGATCATTTCTGTGGCTCTTTAAACCTTTTTTTTTTTTTTTTTTTTTTGTATAGGGGATTGAACTTAGGGGCACTCGACCACTGAGCCACATCCCCGACCTTTTTTTATATTTTATTTAGAGAAGGGTCTCACTGAGTTGCTTGATGCCTCGCTTTTGCTGGCTTTGAACTCGCTATCCTCCTGCCTCTGCCTCCTGAGCCACTGGGATTACAGATGTACACAACCACACTCCAGTTGAAATTCTTTTCAGATGTTTATTTCACAGTATTATGCTGATTTTTCTCTTACTGAAGCATCAATTTCAGCAAAATTTGTCATTCTTGTCATTTACTTTTTTTTTTTTTTAATAGTTCTGGGAATGGAACCCAGGGCCATGCTAGTCAAATGCTCTACCATTAAGCTGCACCCTGGCATTTTTAAAGAATATACTGGTTATTTCAGGTGAACTATTAATTTAGTGTTTAGGGCTATCTAAGGCAGTGCTACAGAATGAAGTAAAAAGGCTGAAACATTATAGGGAATGGTTTTTCAGATATAGAATTTTTCTTTTTCTTTTTTTGTGTACAAGGAATTGAACCCACGGGTACTTACCCACTGAACCAAATCCCCAGCCTTTTATTTTGAGGCAGGGTCTCACAAGGTTGCCCACAGCCTTGCTAAATTGCTGAGAGTAGCTTTGAACCTGAGATCCTCCTGCCTAAGCTTCCCAAGCTGCTGGGATTATAGCAAAAGCTACTGGCAACTTTGACAAAGGAAGGTTGAAGGTACAGGAAGCAGGGAGAGAGGCTGTGATGTGGCCATTGGGGCTCATGTGGAGGGGTGTGTTTGGGTTACATAGCATTTGGACACTTAATATTGGAGCCTACTGGAAAAAGATACATTCATACATTGCTGGTGGGAATGCAGATTGGTGCAAGAATTATGAAAAGCAGTATGGAGATTCCTTAGAAAACTTGAACACCATTTGACCCAGCTATCCCACTTCTTGGTTTATACCCAAAGGACTTAAAATCAGCTTATATAGTGATGAAGCCTCATCAATGTTTATAGCAGCTCAATTCATAATAGCTAAACTATGGAACCACCCAGATGCCCTTCAACAGATGAATAGATTTAAAAAATGGAATATTACTCATTCTTAATGAAGAATGAAATTATGGCATTTGCAGGTACATGGATGGAGCTTAATTCTAAGCAAAATAAGCTAGTCCCAAAAAAAGAGCCAAATGCTTTCTCTGATATGTGGATGCTAATCCATGATGGGGGGCAGCTAGAGAAGAATATAGCTACTTTAGATTAGGTAAAGGGGAGTGAAGAGAGAGGAGCAGGTATGGGGTTAGAAAGGATAATAGAACAAATCAGGCATTATTACCCTATGTTTGTATATAACTATATGACCAGTGTGATTCTACATCATGTACGATCAGAAGAATGAGAAATTATACTCCATTATATATGATGTATCAAAGTACATTCTACTGTCATATATAACTAATTAAAACAAATTAAAAATAAAATTTAGGGCTGCGAATGTGGCTTAAGTGATAACACGCTCTCCTGGCATGCACCGGGCGCTGGATTCGATCCTCAGCACCCCATAAAAATAAAAATAAAGATGTATCCACCGAAAAACTGAAAAATAAATATTAAAAAATTCTCTCTCTCTTAAAAATTTAAAACAAAATTTAAATAGTTGGAGCCCACTTTATCTATTCAAGAAACTCATTTTATTCTAGTGATTTCCACTAGAATAAAATGCCTTTTATCATGTGTAATAATGTTTTGTGCTCTGAAACAGCCATATTATCCTTAAAGTCACCATTTCCCCTCACAGCATATCTTCATCTAGTCATTGTAGTGGTTAACCTCAGAAGGGATAGTAATTTGTTTTTGTGTACTGCGCATTTCATTTGGTATCTAGTGACTAACAGTGCACTGGAATGTATTGTCAAGAATATAGTTCCCTATTGTGCTGCAAAAAAAAAAATTAAAATTAGGATTCAGACATGTTGCAACCTAAGAAAAGACTTTTACAAAGATCATTTGCAATTCAGTTGGAGCTGGGGCTGTGTTTTCATAGGGAAGCAATGTTATTATAATTGACACCCAAGTTCCCAAAATAGTTGTCCACAAATGCCTCTTTAACCTAAACTCAGAACTGAGAGTGGCCCAGTGCTGTACTTGAAGCCCCCAAGATTAATAGAAACACCAGGAACTGGGAAAGCTTAGGTGGCAGGGAGTCTCTACAGCAGCTTTGAGAACACAGTAGAAAGAAAAGCTGCCCGCTGCCTCAGCAACCAGTTATGGGTCACTTGTTAGTTGAGCTGTTCTGTAGATATTAGGACTAGCTGTATATAAAATTGAGGCTCCATAGATAGCAAAAAGAATCTATCTATAAACAAGTGAAAATTGACCATAAACTTTGAGTTACTGATTCTAGTGATTAATAATGATTTAAGGGACTTTAAGGATTTTCCTATGTCATGGCTCAAATAAAACAAATGAATTGGTAAGTCAGGTCTGTTGACTCACTAGTATATCTTTCAAAAAAGTTTATAATTCAGACTTTTAAAATGCTAATTAATAGGCATTTACTCAAATTAATCCATATTATCTTTTTCTTCCCTCTAGGGGCCTTGTAGAGAAAAAAGAGATGGAGCTGGTTTTAAGTAAGTTAGAAGCAGCACAGAAATATTTGGCTCAGAAGTACTGTGTCCTCGTGCTAGGGTTGGGCATGCCCGATAAGCATCACATGTGCTGTGGAAAGTAAGTGCACTCCAGATGCCATTAGATCATGATACCCTTAGGACCCTTGCATTTGACTTCTGGTACCAGGGAGAAAAGCATTTCCTTTTTGTTGTCCAGAATAATTGGGCTCAGGTAAAATCTGCCCCAAGCACTGGGGGTTGTCTGCTTTGAGAGAGTCAAGTGAGTATGGAAGACATCCCAGAATCTCAGTTAATATCTATTTATTTAGGTACGGAATTGAACATAAGGGTATTTACCACTGAGTTGCATCCGAGCCCTTTGTTTTTTATTTTGAGACAGGGTCTCGCTAAATTCCTGAAATTTGCCTCAAATTTGCCGTGTTTCTGTCTGAGCCTCCAGAGTTACTGAGATTATAGGTGTGTGCCATGACACCCGGCTCAGCTGATATTCAAAAATTCTCCCCTGCTTGTGATTAAATGACTTGATTTCTCAGTGGAATCTTGCTCTCAACCAGGAGGGATTCCTATGCTAGGCAGGGCTACTGGTTGCCTCTAGTACATACCGAGTGATAGACCAATGTTGGTGGGGGATGGAATGTCTGCTTGTTTTGCAACTGCCAGGAAGAGCTGCAGAGGTGGGGGTTATAAAATAACACTGTTTATGGGAATACAATTTTTGTCTTAGGATGACAATGTCTGCATAATTGTAATTGAAATTTAAAAAGGGGTCTCATCACCAGAAAGTTGGAGATCACAGGAAGAAAAACTTTGATCCTTAACCCCAAATCTCCCCCTGAACAGTTTCATGACAAGCCCAAGAGCCATCCCATGGCCATAGCCAGAACTTAAAAAAAAAAAAAAAAAAAAACCCTCAATAGGAAAAGAACACATACATGATATACCTCTCTCTAAATCCCCCATGTTTTCAAAGATATCTTTGTCCATGAACATACTTAACCCAGTTGTTCCTATGTTTTTTTTGTGTGTGTTCTACATTTCCTATGTGCTCTCCTCTCTTATTCTGCATACGTAATTTCACTTATCACTTTCCATAGCAGCTGTAGTTATCCTGTTGTATAGTGTACCCATTGCTTAACCATCCCTTTTGTAAACATTTATATGGTTTCAGTTTTTCTGTTTTACTGTAGTTTGTATTGCTTTACATAAATTACTTTGTTCATGTGGACTATTTCCTTATGGCTTATTACCCAGAATGTTTTTACCTATAGGGCACAAACAATTGTTAAAAAGCTCTTCATAACATATTGCCAGATTGTGCTCCAAAAATGTTCATTTCAGAGGTAGTGGTATGTGCCGATAGTCCCAGCATTTGGGAGGCTGAGGCAGGAAGATCACTGGAGCCCAGGAGTTTGAGTCCAGTCTGGACAACATAGGGAGACCCCATCTCCAAACAACCAACCAAGACCAACCAACTGAAAAGAATCCAGAGCCCTCCACAAGACCTCCTGCATGGGAGGCTGGGAAAAGTGATTTCAAAAAAATTAAAACATTTTGTATTGCCCTCAGCAATAAGCATATTTGGTTGTGATGGGTTTTATTATTTTAATATTTTTGATAGTTTAAAGGTATATTAAAAGCTTAAAGATGTTTTACATTAATGAATATTTTTCAGGCTTTTAGAATCTCTGCTCTTTTTCTTTTTAAAATTATTCACTGTCTACTCATTTAGTTTCAACCATTTTCCAAGGGGGAGTTGAAAAATTTTTTAATTTCTTTATTTACATCCTAAACCAAGGATTGATCATTTGTATTTTTTAGTTTGTTGTTTTCTTTTGAATATTTATATATTTAAACATTAGAAAAATGTTTTATTCAAACATGTCCACCTTTTTTCTGATATTTGATAGTCATACAAGTTCTTGCCGTTCCTGGGTTAAACTTATTCTCTTTTTAATTTTTTAAAATTAGCATTTTAAAGAAATGTGACTTTGCTCCATTTGAAATCTGTTACAACATATCAGATGAACTATGAATATAAGCTTTTTATTTTTTTAACTAATATCAAACTTTCTAGTAATATCTATTGGTGATTTTTTTCTCCACAGTAACATGTCTTGTTATATTTTGAATTTTTCTAACATTTTAACCCAATTTGGTAAATTCCTATTGATTTTTCCCCCCCCAGTATTGGGAATTGAGTCAGGGCTACTCTATCTTTGAGCTACATTCCCAGCCCTTTTTATTTTTTTGATATAGTGTCTTACTAAGTTTTCCTGTCTGACTTTGAACTTTTGATCCTCTTGCCTCAGCCTTCCAAGTAGGTGGGATTATAGGCATGGACCAACACATCTGGCTTGCAGTCATTATTTCTTTCTGTATCTTTTAAAAGTATAGATAGTCCTTACACATTCGGCTTTCCACAGCCTGCTTTTCCTTATGGTAATGCTCCTAAACCAATTTGTTTTTAAAATTACAAGTCATAGCATATTGGTAGATCTTGAAATCAATGTAGTTGTGAAGAGAATAAAATAATTTTAAAAAATAAGTATATCTGGCGTAAAAGTAATAAATAGAAATCCATAGTCCAGGGATACTTTAATAAACAACTGAAAAAAAAGTGTATCTGGGGCTGGAGTTGTAGCTCAGTGGTAGAGCACTTGCCTGGCATGTGTAAGTCCCTGGGTTCAATCCTTAGCACCACATATAAATAAACAAATAAATAAATAAAGTAAAAAATCCATTGACAACTAAAAAATTTTTTTTAATGTTTTTAAAAAAATCAAGTATATCATATAAAATTAAGTTAAGTATTTTTTTTCAGGATACTTTTGTGTCTGTGTCTTAGTATGTTTTGAGTTGCTTTAACAAAATACTTGAGGCTGGGTTCTGTATTATTGTTCTCTAAATAGTAGAGGTTTAATGAGCTCATAGAACCGGTGTCCAAGAGCATGGTACCAAGCTTCACTTTTGGTAAGGACCTCATGGCAGATAGCATCAAAGGTGGGAAGTGGAGAGAGAGTGAAGATAGAGAAGAAAGAGGAGTCAGGTGTCATAGTGTACAAGATAGATCATATGGTGTGGTGAGCCGCCTCTGCCGCTTATGCAGATTATGGTCGCCATTACAAGATGGCGCTGGCTCCGCTGTGGTTTGTGACAAACAACTCCTTATTTGGGAGAGTTGGCGCATGGTTTTTCAGCACCCTATGAGAAAGTTCCACGTGGCAGCTTCGCATTGGGGCTTGAGATGCTATATTAAGCCTGGGAGGGGCATCCGAGGGATGAGTAGAAGAAACATCAAGGGCCTGAATAAACCGCTGAAAGAAGATTCCCGAGTTGCGTCTTCCTTGCGGGCAAGGGGTCGCGACAATATGGTGGGAAAGGAAGCAAGAAATCAGGGAGAAAGCAGGCTTGCTCTTTTTTTTACCCCCTAATACTAGAGATTGAACCCAGGGTGTTCTGCTACTGAATCACATCTCAGCCCTTTTTATTTTTTGAGACAGAATCTTGCCAATTTGCCAAGACTGGTCTCAAAAGTGTGATCCTCTGGACTTAGCCTCCCAAGTCCCAGGGATTACACGCATGTGCCACTGTGCCTGGCCAGGCTCTTTCTTTAACAACCTGCTGTGAAACTAATCCACTTCTATGAGACCCAACCCAACTCTCCATAATACCAGCATCAATCCCTTGTAGAGGGCAGTGGTGACTCTGCCATCTTCCACTAGTTCTCACCTCTTAAAGGTCCCACTCCCTTTCAATACTGTCACCTTGGGTAAGTAAGCCTCAGCTTGTATTTCAGCAAGGACAAACCAGATTCACACCATAGCAGTCAATGTGTGTATTCTAGGGACTCAATATTAAGTATGTTTCTTGCTGTGAGTTACAATTTAAAGAGTCTGAAAGCCACTGCGTTACAGCATCCTTTCTGTACCACACGCACTCTTGTGTTTTCATAAGAATTTTGCTTTACTCAGCCTTTCAAGCAATTATACCATAGTGTTGTTTGTCAGCTAATTGTTCAATTTAGACAGTTGTGTTAATTTGTTGGGCCATTTGAATACACTATTGAATTTCCCCTATATTTTAGAAAAAGATAAGTGGAACATTGGAAAATCAACTACTGCTAATTCAAATCTAGAAACTATTGAGCATCTGGAGAATCTTTAGCTACATTCAAATGCTTGGGACTAAAGTAGAACAAATGTGGGTTTGATTGCAAAAGACAAGACCTTGCACATGCTAGTCAAGTGCTCTACCACTGAATCATATCTTCAGCCCTTTTTTATTTTGAGATAGGGTCTTGCTAAGATGACCAGATTGGCCTCGAACTTGGGATCTTCCTGCCTCAGCCTCTAAATACCTAGGATGACAAGTGTGTGCCACTGCTCCCAGCTACAATCTTTTCCATGTTTTTTTTTTTTTTTGGTGCAGTAAAATTATATACAATAGTGGGTTCATTGTTACATATTTGAATATGCACATGATATAACAATATAATTTGGTCATTATTGTCTTCCAATATTTCCCCTTTCCCCATCCTCCTTTTTCCTTCTTACAATATGATTTTTAAAGGAAACTATGATGTTTGAAAGTAGGTGAATGCCTCTGGTTAGCACAAGATCCTGGTCCCTTTTCCACCATCTGCAGCATCACTTGCTTTTCTTCTGCCCATTGGATGGCAGTTTGGAGAACAGGCTTAGAGCTCACCATGCACCATTTATGTATCAAATTCCATACATGTCAAAGGACTGACATGTATAGAACAAAGGACTTAGAGGAAAGCAGATTGCAGGATGGTTCTGCCAGTGAGTTGTTAATGGCCATGGATGTTGATTATGTCCTTGATTCAGGAATTTATAGTATTCTTTTGGTGGGCTTTTTTTTTTTTTTTTTTGCACTGGGGATTGAACTCAGGGACACTTAACTACTGAACCACATCCCTAGCCCCCGCCCTCTTTTTTAAAGACAGAATTTCACTGAGTTGCTTGGGATCTTGCAAAATTGCTGAGGCTGGCTTTGAACTCACAGTCCTCCTGCCTCAGCTTCCTGAGACACTGGTATTATAGGCCTGTGCCACCGTGCCTGGCATTGGTGGGTTTTATGTAGAAAATGAGGACAGTGATTTTTTTCAGTTATAAGTAATTAGCTGATTTTAACATGTCTTATTCACTATAATTTGAATAAGCTAATATTTTCATGTGGGTTTTCTGATTTTTTTCCCTCTAATACATGCATGGCTAATATTGGACTAGAATACCTCATGCCATTTATCTCTGGAGTTAAAGTGAAGATTATAGTAGAACCAATAATTTGGGGCTGTTAATCTAGTGCTTTCATGTTGCTTGAGAAGTAAGAGAAGATGCTTCTCTATTCTAAACACATCTGTGAAAATCCAGTATCACATAAATCAGCAAAATTTTGATGAATGTGTTCAGTAAAATTTATCTGGTGTTGGAGATACATGCAAAAGCCTCCTTTTTGGTGTAAACTATAGACTTAGATCTGTTCTTTGGTTGTAGCTAGTACAGGCTTCATCCTCACCCCCATCCTAGGATATGAACCTTCTTCCTACACTCTCAGTGTGGCTGCCACCTCATGGTGGACCAAAGAGGCTGGTGGTGGAGGTAGAGATAGAAAGAAAAGTAGGCTCTTTTAAAACATCATCTTTTAAAAATTTGGGGGGGTGGTGGGTGTGACTATATTGCCCAAACTGGTCTTAAATTCCTGGTCTCAAATTATCCTCCTGCCTCAGCCTCCCAAATAGCTGGGATGACAGATGCATGCCACAACACACAGCTCTAAATCACTCTTAAACCTGCCTCCCAGCTCAGTCACATGCATTAAGGACTCTTTCCCCTCTCCACCAACACATCTTTGAAGCTTCTTTTTCCTTGTATAGGGCAGATTTTGACCTTTATTTAGTTTAGATCTTGAATGTCTCTCAAAGACCCATGAGTTAAAGGCTTGATCCCCAGGATGGGAAGTGGCAGAGGCTTGAAGAGGTGGAGCTTAATGAGAAATCCTTAGGTCATTATGGTTGTGCCCTTGAAAGGGATTGTGGGGCCCTGGCCCCTTCTTCCTCTGCTCTCTGGTTCATGAGGTGAGTGAGTGATTTTGGTACAACATGTGCTTTGGCCATGATGTGCTACCTTGCTGCAGACCCAAAGCAATAGAGCAGCTGATGATGGACTGAAGCCTTCAACACTGTGGACCAAACTGAACCTTTTCTCTCTCTCTCTCTCTCTCTCTCTCTCTCTCTCTCTCTGTCTTTTTGAGAGAGAGAGAACTTTTTTTTTTTTTTTTTTGGTAGAGGGACATAACACAATGACTTTATTTTTATGTGGTACTGAGAATCGAACCCGGGTCCCACACACACTACAGTGCTCTTGCAGACAAGCATGGTAGCTACTTGCCACATGTGGCTACTGAGCATTTGAAATGTAGCTTCAAATTGAGAGATGCTATAAGTGTGAAATATATGTAGTATATAAAATATGTACAAAAAGCTTTAAGGTAAATAAAATACCTTATCAATTTAAAATATTGAGTATATATTGAAATGATATTTCAGGAATTTGAATAAAATAATATATTGTTAAAATTAACATCACCATTTTATTTTATTTTATTATTTTGCAGTGCTGGGGATCAAACCTAGGGCTTTGTGCTTGCTAAGCAAGTGAGCTATACCTCCAGATCCACCTGTTTGGTTTCTTTTAACCATAGCTGCTAGAAATTTAAAAATTATATTTATGGCTTACCTTATGTTACTATTGGATTGTGCTATTACAAACCTTGTTTAATTTTGCAGGTGATTTTGGCAGAGGGGGAAGTGTCTTTCATTCTATTAATCAAAAAATTTCTAAATTTTAAATCAATTGATTTTAGGTTCTATGTCCTTAATATAGAAATTATAAAATACAAAAAAGAGAAAATGATCCACAATTCACCAGCAATAGATGAATTTACAGAGATTGAACTGTGAGATCCCAAACAGTGCCCCTGCTACACATCCATTTCCTGGACTCATTTCAGTTTCCTTCATAGAGATAAATCAGAATGGTAAGACCCAGTCTTCCATTCTTCATTTCCCAGGTGTGGGCCACATCAGTTTGCTTTAGGTTTTAAGAGAGATAAGAGTTCAGGTATTTATGCCAATTTGAAGGAAAGTGAAGGACGTTCATGTTACCTTTCCTTCTAAACTAAAAAATGAAAGAGAGAGGGAGAGAGAGAGAGAGAGAGAGAGAGAGAGAGAGAGAGAGAGGGAGAATGTGTGTTTCATGGACGTCACTCTCTAATTTCAAAACCTTGCCAAGATGCTGTCTCTCTAAACTTTCTCCCAGAACATAAGCTGACTCATTATTCCAAAAACAGATTGTTTGGTTTTCTGCTTCAGCTTGGCAGGTCTGCATGGGCTCTAGTTTCAATCTGGTAGAGGTATGAAAGGGCAGGAATTCATACCTGAATTTCTGAATAAACCAAAGAAACATGGAAGCTTCTTTCCCTGAAAAGTTTCTGCTGGACTCCGTTGTTCAATATTTTTATCTGCAAACTATTCTAAAGAAAAAGCCATTTCCCAAGCATTCTGGTTATGAGGACAGAGGTGTATATCTTACAGGCATGAATTTTAGCATAAGATCTGTCCCTTGGGCTGGGGATGTGGCTCAAGCAGTAGGGCGCTCGCCTGGCACGCGTGTGGCCCGGGTTCGATCCTCAGCACCACATACAAACAAAGATGTTGTGTCCGCCGAAAACTAACTAACTAAATAAATAAATATTAAAAAAAAAAAAAAGATCTGTCCCTACTTAAACATATATATTTGGTTTTTAATCTCAAATTTAGTTTTTTTTGTTGTTGTTGTAAGTGGGAATAATAGTGCTGACTACTTCATATGGGTATTATGAAGACTAAATATGGTAGTCAACATAAAGGTTTCAGCATGGTATCTGGCAATATAGTCTGCACTTAATGTAATTATTGTTGCCTTAATTTTGTGTTGAAGATTTGTACATGAGGAATCCAGTATACAAAGAAGCAGGTAGGATAAGAATTGTAAAAGATGAACCAGCTCTTTGGGCTCATGCCCCAATGGAAGGTCACTTTGGGCCAGTAAAAACCAAAGTCCCTGGAAGAAGGATGCAGGTCCTGAGGATTGAGGATTATCTTCCCTAGACTTTCCAGGATGGTTCTGGAAAGCCTGGTCCCAGGACCAATCCTAGAATCCTAGGAATCACAGTTACTCCAAGGAAGGCACAAGGAAAAGCAGAAATGAAACCAGCTTCAACCTTGGAGCACCCTGGGTCTGACCTCCTTCCCCATGACTGATGGAGTGACTGCAGGTACACAGCCCCCACAGTCAACTCTCAAGAACTCTTCAGAACATGCCTGCTTCCCTAAAGCTGAAAGTCAAAATCAAAACAACCTGTGTAAGATGCAAGGTCAGGTTTACTAAGCATGCTCATCCCAGTACAATAGCCTTAACAATGAATTTGTGTTGCAAGGACTGCTGGGCAAATATCTGCCTTTAAGAGCTAAGGCTCAGGTCTGGGTGTGTGGTTTAGCAAGAGAGAAAAAGCTCCAGACTCTTTAATGTCAGATGTTACTCAGAAGAAGGAGGAGCACAATATAATTCTTAGTCTGTTGATGGTGTGGTGTTGATTTTATTAATTTTGTTTCTCTTTCTTTTTTGCATCCAGCAGCCAAAACCATTGTTTTTCTTCATTCTATACTTACCTTCTAGTTCTGTGCAACCACATCTATTTATCACTTCACATAACCTGTTTACCACCTTCCCACTCTCGTCATGTCCCCAACACTCACATCACCAGAAGCATTTGAAAATATACAATTTCTCATTGGCTTGTTTATTCTGAATTTATGTTGGCTTTTTTTTTTCTTTTGGGAATTGGGGATTGAACCCAAGGGCATTTTACCACTGAATCACATTCCCAACTCTTTTTTATTTTGAGACAGGGTTTTGCTAAGTTGCTTAGGGCCTTGCTGAGTTGCTGAGGCTGGGTTTGAACTTGCAAGCTTCCTGCCTCAGCCTCCGGAGCTACTGGTATTGAAGGCATGCACCACGGTGCCTGGTAATTTTGGTTAATTTTTGCCCAAACACTCCAGAAGTTTTGACCTGGGTCACCTAGGAAGTTGAATAGAAGGCATTTGTATTCTCTTTGCCTTTTGCTAGCATTCATGTAGCTAATTGTCTTGGAGCCACAGGTCATGAGCCTACATTTTGGGAAAGATAAGAGCTAGATTATTAAAGACTAAACTTCCCTCTCAGCCTATTGTTATAATGTGCTATGTTGCAGGGAGAAAATGTCAGACACACAAAAAGACTGGAAATTCTTCGAGGTGAGTCACATTTTAGGGATTTTCTTTGTGCTGTGATACATAGTGCATAGCAATGATGAATAGTCATTTCTTAGGCACTTATTTTGGTGAATATTCTTTCTAAAAAAAATGCTAACAAGCCACATAGTACACCTTAGGATTTTGGTCTGATTTTTCTCCCATGAAGGCAAGTACATGTCCAATTTTTCATGGCTTTTCAGGGATATTGAGAAATTGGGTCATTTGGGTTTGTAGCTACTTTGCAATGTTATATGAACAGTTGAGAATTTTTCTTATGATTTCTGAAAATCGTGATTCTTGTCTGTTTTTTGTCATAGTCCTTATTCACTTTCTGTACACATGTAGCATGGATTGTCTTCCAACGTCAACACTTGACAGAAATCGAGGAAGAAATAGGAAGGCTCTTCCGCTCTAATATGTTCAACATTCCTCGAAGGAAACGGGAAGATGAAGAATCAGGAGGGGAGAAGAAACGCATGACTTTTGTACAATTCAGGTTTGATCTCTGACTTTTGTAAACTTGAGGCTGTTTCTAGACAGCTGGAGAAGGTGATCTAAATGGCATCTTTCTTCTCCCACAGGCGAATGATGGCAAAACGCCCAGCCATTAAAAAAGCCGTTAACATGCGTTCTCCAGTCCTGTCTACTCTGCTGCCATCTCTCAGAGAAAAAGCTCAGAATATCGTTGAGAAAAAGTATCATCTAGTAGGCATCAAACTCCCAGGCCGGGTACAAAAACACATGCAAAGTCTGGACTCTGTGCCCATGTCAGTGTAAGTGACTCAGGAGGGAGGCCAGACAGCCTGAGGGTTGGACCTGGAAGGGGCAGGGGCTCAGCACCAGGCCTCTGCAGAGAATTGAATGAAGACAAGGCATCTGTGTTTCCATGAATCCCCTGCTCCTGACTGTTTCCTGTCCAGATTAATTCTAGTTATATCCATTGAGATTAGAAAAAAAAATCATTAGAAAGTTGTGCGAAACTCCAAATAGTTGTAACTTGGAGAAGTAAGTAACAGATTCTTTAAGGCTGATGGTTATGTATTGTAAGAATCATCTTTGGGAAATTTAGGAAGGGTCAATACAAAATCTTGCTGTGGATTGAGTTTTGGATTCATATGTCAGACCACAGTGGTTATTCATGAAATAGAGACAACTTTCAAAAAAGTGTGTGTGTGTGTCTGTCTGTCTGTCTGTGTCTTGTCTGTCTTAGTTTTAGTATACTACCTCAGCTGTACCAAAAATTCTTTTTACAGAGTTGGCATTTTGGGGGAGCCACGATGTCTGTTCAACCCTCATACCCTTCTCCCTCTTGAACCAAAAGAAAATGCAAAATCATCTAAAAGACTTCCATCCCTGGTAGAGAGAAATAACAACCAGATTCAGGACACACTGGAGTCATGAAAACATTGTCTTCTTAAATATGCCCTAAATAATCTGGTATATTCCACTTCTGTAATCAAGTCCCAGCACTTCAGGTAAACTACTTCAACTTAACTGCTTGATATAGGATCAATATGTGTGTTATTATTATTAAACTTTTTAAGTTATTCAAGTTAATTTTGTTTGTTCAAGTTATTTTGTAAAAAGTTCAATAGACTATTAAATAATTCCAGAAATCTCTTGAAAGCTCATTTTCTTATTTTTATTGGTTTATTTTGTTACTTTCTTGCTTCTTCTACTTCAGTGTGACTCTTCAAGAGTATTAGGCCACTTAAATACTATTTTAGTTGACTGGTGAAGAAGCATTCATTTCTAAATCCAACTTTGCCTTATGAAAAAGCATCTTTGGTATGTGTGTAAATAAAATTTCAGAAACAAAAAAGGCAAATTAAAAATTTAACACTAAGCCAGGCATGATGGAGCACCCTCTCTAATCCCAGCAACTCTGGAGGCTGAGGCAGGAGGATTACAAGTTCAGTTCAAGGCCAGCCTGGGAAACTTAGCAAGACCCTGCCTCAAAATAAAAATCAAAAGGGCTGGGGATGTAGTTTAGAGGTAAAGTGCCCTTGAGTACTATCCCATACATGCACCAAAAAAAAAAAAAAAGTTTAACCAGTACCTAGGTGGCACCTGGTATTGTAGAGATGATTAACATGCATTGACATGCAGTCTTCATTCAGGTTTCTCCCTGAGCAGGGCAAGGAAAAGAAGGCTAGAAGTCAGATATAAAGAGAAACAGTGTTACTCAGCTTAAAGGAGAGAGGTTTTCAAGTTGGGGATGGAGGGATGGATATGGAGATGGCTCTTGAAGTTTTGTGGAGCCTGAATAGGCAGCTATGGGTGGAAGATACCAGGGCTCAGACCCGAAAACCCGGTGGCCAGGCCTTGTTTAGTGGAGGAGCTGTGGGGTTGGTGGGGGTAGCAAGCACTTAGGAAAGATGGAGCTATTTTATTGCTTAAGCTTTTGTCAGTGGCTGCAGAACTGTCTTCTAGTTTGGCCATCGTCTTAAGGCCACCTACTCCTGGTTCTGCTTCTGATACCTATCTGTGTCACCATTTCTGTCTTTGCATTTATTTTGGGCTTCAATTCCATCATAGATACACAAACCATTCCTGTTTAGGACTTAACATGTGGCATTCTGATCTCAGCTAATCTCCATACCAAGAAAGAAAAGTAGATTTGACTCTCCATTCATGGACCTCCCTCTAAACAAGTTTTAGGTTGCAAAAGAAAGTTTCTGGGGCTGAGAGCCCAGTGAACTCCCCCCTTGTTTTATTGACAGGCTGTTGTGCTTCCATCTCCAGAGCAGTCTGATTGGGAGTAGGTTCAAAAAGTTGTTCTGTATCCAGAGTTTGCTAGCAACATACTGCTAGCATGCCCTCTCTCTCTCTCTCTCTCTCTCTCTCTCTCTCTCTCTCTCTCTCTCTCTCTCTCTCTCTCTCTCTCTCTCTCTCGATAATGTCTAAGGCAGTCTAGGTGATCCATGCCAAAGGGCTTGGTATAGCAGATCACTTCTTTTGCAAATAACCTCCCTTTTCTTCTTTGGGCAAAGATTCATTCTCATTTCCTTTACTTCTCCTAACTCAAACCCAGAGGCCTAAGCAAAGCAAAAGAAAAATGTGCTGGGTCTGAGAACCTCAGTCAGGTCACTCTGAAACCCAGCATTATGGTGGGTGGCAACTAAGACCTTTGTAGAGGTGTTACCTCTCCCACCTCCACTGGCTAGTTTGAGATCATTGACACTATTTAGAATCAAATTCTTTCCAGAATCAAATTTTTTCCAGGCCTAGTGGTGCACACATGTAATTCCAGTGATTCAGGAGGCTGAGACAGGGGGATCACCAGTTCAAGGTCAGCCTGAACAACTTAGCAAGACCTTGTCTCAAAATAAAATCTAATAAAGGACTGTGAACATAGCTCAGTGGTAGAGCACCATTGGGTAAAGTGCCCAGTAAAAAAAATTAAACAATTGGAAAAATAAACTAGATTATATGATTTCACTCTTTATCTATAGAATTTGCAAAGATTGAAAGAAATAATGACCAACATTGGCAAGTGGGTAGGTAACCAGGCACTCTCACACATGAATGAGGGAGTGGCAGTATGCTCTGATGTGACCCTTCTGAAGGAAATTTGGCAGTAACATATTTTACCTTTCCAGCATATTTGTGTATTCATTTAGGGCTAGTTCAAATATCTGGCTTGTTCATGTTGATCTCTGAAGATGTCCATTATTGATTTACCACTCATTGAGGGGTGGAAATGTGTCATTCTATTCAGCCCAGTAACCAAATAAGCACTTTAAAAGTTCTTTTTAGAATGATTAGAACAATGATAAAGTAAATATTTTGTTACCTTATAAGAAGTAATTTATTGATAACCTACTCAGTGCTCAGTACCTTGCTAGGTTTATGAGACACTTAAGAAGTATAAGGTGGAGGGGCTGGGATTGTGGCTCAGCGGTATAGCACTCACTGAGCATGTGCAGGGTACTGGTTTGATAAAAATAAAATAAAGGTATTGTGACCAACTACAACTAAAAAAACAAAACCAAAAAAAAAAAAAAGAAGAAGAAGAAGTATAAGGTGAGTATGTTAGTCAGTTTTCCATTACTGTGACAAAACACCTTATAAAATCAACTTAAAGAAGGAAAGATTTATTTTGGCTTAAGATTTCAGAGGTTTTAGTCCATGATCACTTGGCTCTATTGTTTCTGGCCCTGTGGCGAAGCAGAACATCATGATGGGGAGCACATGGTATAGCAAAACTATACCTCATGGCTGATGGGAAGCAGAGAGGGGGAACAGGAACAGATCATACCCTTCAGAGGCACAGTCCTAGTGACTTACTCCATCTAGGTCCCACCTCCTACAGTTTCTACCACCTCCCAATAGCCCCTTAAGCTCTCAGTCCATAAATGGATTAGTCCATTAACGAGGTTACAGCCCTCATGATCCAATGACCTCCCAAAGGTCACCTGTGAACCCGATGCACTGTGGACCAAGCCTTCAACACATGAGCTTTTGCAGGACATTTCAGATCTAAACCATATCAAGAGGGTTCCAGCCTTCAGAGCTGAACTAGGAAGTCAAGAGCAAAACTCTGTGACAGAACGGGAGAGCAAGCGGGTAAGGCTAACTTGTGAAGTGGAGACTCGGACCAAGCAGCTGGCCAACTCGAAATCACCCCCTGAGAAGTGATGAGGACACAGAGAGGGGAATGAACATCTCTTTTCCATCAGTCATTCCCCCTCCTCCTGTACCAGTGCTTTGATAAAAACAGCACAGCTGTTCTTCTGAGCTTCTCTTTTCCTTGGCTCTTTCTACCCAACAAATGACAGGTAGTAATTTCCCTTTCCAACTGAACAGTGCAACCCAAATAGTGGATGAGGGACAATTTTTCTCTGCAGAGCTATTTCAGGAAATAAATTAAAAGGAAATGATAGGGCTGGGGTTGTGGCTTAGTGGTAGAGCACTTGCCTAGCATGTGTGAGGCATGGGGTTCAATCCTCAGCACCCCCAAAAATAAATAGATAAATAAAATACAGGTATTGTGTGTCCATCAACAACTAAAAAAATTAACAAAAACAACCCCCATAAAGGGATAGAGCTAGAATATTATCATTTTGTAAATCATAAATGGAATAATGGATCAGACATTGATCGCCAGTAGCAGCTGACATCCTAAGAGACACCTGGGCATCATGCAGGGAGTCTACAACAGTTCCTCTAAAGAAGTCCCTCCAAAAAATTAAAACTGCATAGAACAGAGTCTGTAAGCCTAAGTCTAGGAAACCTAAGAAAGGAGGAAAATGCTCCATAGCACTGCAGACATGCAAATGGAAAATTTTAAAAAGGGAGGAATCTACAGAAAAAGTGGCCTGATTTCCACAACAAATAATAAAGGGTGAATCTTTAAGTGAGAAAAGTAGACTTAAGGGATATATTAGTCAAATACATTGTGGACCTTGTTTGGATCCTAATTTGAACAAGCTAATAATTGTTTTATGATATATATGTAATACATATCATATATAATGTATGTGATACAATCGGAAATTTAATACTGGGAGGATATTTGATATTAAGGAATTATTGGTAAATTTGTTAGGTATAATAATGTTATTGTGGTTTTCTAAGCTTTTGCTCTTTTTTAAAAAAAATAGAGGCAAAGACTTAAATATTTACAGTTGCAGGGGGAGCAGAAGTGGAAAGGACACTGGGAGATAAAAACAAGTAGGTATCAGCTCTCCATGAACTACCAGGATGTGATTGGTGAAAATTGCACCCTCCCCAGTTTTTGGTTTTTTTCAAAATTTTTTTAGTTGTAGATGGACACAATACTTTTATTTTGTTTTTATTTTTATGTGCTGCCAGGAATCGAACCCAGTACCTCATGCATGCTAGGCAAGAGCTCTACTACTGAGCCACAACGCCGGCCCCCCCAATTATTCTTTTGCTTTGCAACAAGCACAGACCAAAGCATGCATGAAAAGTTTGAAAATAAAAAAGATTCCCTCAAAAAAAAAAAGAAAAGAAAAGAAAATCACAAAATGCAGCAAATCCTATAGATGGGTAACTGCTCCAATCAACTTCAGCCCCTGCCAGCAGCTGGCTTGAGGCCCGGGTGGAAGTGCAGTGGATTTCCATGCTCTTTTGTGTTGTTTCTCCGAGCCTCTGACTGTATAAATGTGCTGTTGCTTCCCTTGGGGTAATTATCTCCTCCCCCACACTCACCATCTCTCTTCTCACACCTCCTTTAATATGTGCCAACAGTCACACACTGATGCAGACACAAAGGCAGCATCTGCTTGAGAATCCAAGAGTCTTGTGTCATTTCACACCAAGAATCAAGGGGGGAGGAGCCCTAAGTGTCATCCCAGGACTCCCGTGGTAACATGTACCCATTAAAGGCCAATTGCGTGGATTTTTAGAACTAGACAATTCCCCCACCCCCATGACTTCTTACAGCAAACCAGGGAGAATGCTGGTGATGGATGCTAACTTTTCAAATCAGAACTCTGAGGAACGGAGTTATTGCTACCGGTCTAGAATTACAAGTTTGTCTTACTAAATTATTAGTTTACTGATTCACAAAGAAATATTTATATAGTACA